CGGTGATTTTACAAACTTCTTACCTATTATTGATGAAGAAATTAGTGAATTATAATGATAATATAATAAAAAAAACAGAAAATAATACGTTTTACAAGTTCATAGTCAACTTCAACCTACTTGCACACAACTTGAGCCAAATTTGAGGTCAAACTTTTGATTATTTGAGTCAAACTTGAATTTCTAATGATATTGAACTAGGCTCCTCATTTCATTTGCTCAGTATGTTAGAAATATATAATTTTCAAAATTTTAAAAGAAAAAAAATAAATAAAAATACATTGTGGGGTTTAACAAAATATATAAATTCTTTCCGAGAATGTTCCAAACGCTTGCTTCCCAAGTTGGAATTGTCCATGAATAGACCTTTTTTTCTGTCCTTCCTAGTCTAAGAAATATAAAAAAATGGATTTTAACACGTGAATTGATATCATATGATATAATATCTGAATAATGTATTGAATATTCTCGTAAAATATATTAATTGATTTCTTGTCAAATTTAATTATATGCTTGAGTCTTTCTTTTATAGAATAGTATGGTAGGCATGGTTATATTTTTATATGGTCTGGATATTGACTATCCTATGTCCTTAGTTGTGAGTTGTGACGACTTCTTTTACCCAAAGGCCCAAGGTATCTATATTACCCAATTCAAATATAGGCCCAACTCAATTAAAAAAAAAAAAAGAGACAATTTTCACCGAGTGGCTTTTGAGTAGTTTAGGAGATTAAACCTTATTTGCCAACTTGGAGTTGCTAAAAATTAATGAAAAATGTCAATTATGTGACAAATGAAATTTTTTAGTTAAACTTCTCACATTTGACCTATAAATATAATGCCACTCTACACATAGGTTAGAGAGGAAGATCATCTAACTCTTAAAGTTTTGAAGACTTTCACTACGTAAAGTTTTTGAGGATGAAGAACAACAAGCTCAACACACAAGTAAAGTTTTTTTTTTAAGAAATCAACCGTGATCAAATTTCTTCGACTCTAGATCGAAAATCCAGTCAACTCTTCTTCAATTTCAAAGATTTAAAGAAAGCTCAACACAACCGATCCAAAATCAGAGTAGTTCAAGGAGATTTAATCAAAGGAAAATTCTTGATTAAAAAATAATCGACCACAGAGAATAGTGCTTTTAAATTAAAAAAAAATTTAATAAAATGTTATTTTTTACTCATTATCATTCTTAAATTTTCAGACAGACAGGAGATCAAGAGACAGTTAGAGCTCTATTGAATCTTTGACTCATCTAATCCTTAAACTTTTTAAGACCTCCAATACTCAAAAGTTTTTGAGGATGGAGAACAACAAGCTCGCCACACGTGTTGCTCTTCTTTGAAGAAATCAACGGTGATTAAGTTCCATTAACTATCGATCGAAAATCCAGTAAACCCTTCTTCAATTTTAAAGATTTGAAGAAAGCTCAACACAACCGATTCAAGGAGATTGAATCAAAGGAAAATTCTTGATTATACAATAATCGACCACAGAGAAATATTACATTTTTTGACCCGTAACCCTAAGATATAGAGGACCAAGGCATGACTAAAGTGATTTCATCACTGACTCATCTTGGACATTCCCAACCACCATCACCAACATCATACGTCAACTCTCTCTCCACAACCTGTTACCTCAACCCAATCCACTTATCCTTGATAAACTACACTGGATTCCATCACCATCAGGAAAATTTTCTATTGCCAACATATTCCTAGCTCCCTTCCTTGGACATACTTGGTTTGGACTAAACCAATGATTCCCAAAACACTCATTCATATTATGCCTTGCCATTCAATCTACACATCATACCTGAATGCACCAAACCTTTGTCATCGATCTGTGCAATTTGGTTATAGAATCACACAACCATCTTTTCTTCCAATGCTCTTTCCATTCGCCCATTTGGACATTTCTTCAAGCACGTTGTGGCTTTCACATTCTCCCCTCCTCATGGAATGAATTGATTGCATGGGCTGCACACCATTGGAAGAGCAAGACCCTTGATTACAGAGCACATACATCTCGGTTGACACTTACAGCTCTGGTTTACAATATCTGGTCAAAACGTAACCGATGGGTTTCAAGAAAAAAAAGTCGAACTCAATTTTGAACAAAATGGTGGAATCAATTCGATTCAAACTCATAGTTAATCCTCCTCTGGTTTCTCCAATTAACAGGCGAATTAGAAATGATTGGAACATCCCTTGGTTTGTGCTTCGTCCTCTTCCACGGCCACCGGTCTAGGAATGGAACACTGAAGCTTCTTGTCCCTGGATGCTTCAATCGTTTGCCACAATGGCTGTTTCACAGGAATTGTGACCAACTGTGTCATGTGTGTTTGATGGGTTGGGCTTACCTTAGTGATGTTGGGATGTATTTTTAGGGTTGTAATTGCTTGTCTTTTGGACTGGGCTTTTGTGTTTGCCTACCTCATACTTCTGTACATTCTCTTTATTTATAAAATTTACCTTTACCTTTCCAAAAAAAAAACTTAGTACATTTTTTTTAAAAATATTAATAAAATGTTACTTGTTACTCATTTTCATTACTAAATTTTCGGAAACGAAATTTGTGTGTATAAAGTTATTAAAAATAACTTTAAAAAGTTAATTATAGTAGGTGAAATGATACGTGTAATAAGAAAAAATGGAGATAAAAATTGATTCGACTCGAAGGATAAAGACAAGAAAGACAATGTTAACAATGAATCACAACACAATTTGCTAACAGAGCTACTCCTTGTGTGGGAGTAGAATATGGTTTCATTGTTCTTATGCATGATGCAAAAGTGCATGAAAGAATAAAATATTAAAATGTCCTTTGCTGTTTAAAAAAATAAAGTTAAAAAAAAAAAATCCAAATTTTTGTTTGATTTTTGTTAGGGCTTTAGGGACTGAAGTCTGTCTCAATAAAATTACGCCATATATAATCCAAGATTAATATGGGCTATCCTATTTAGATTGACAGTTCATGTTTTTCTCATCATCCCAAAAGAGGAAAAAAAAGAAAACAAATCAACATTGATTTTAATTTACAGGAAAAAAGAAAAGTCAACATTGTTTTCTTATGAATCAGATAATAAACCAAAAAATTATAGACATCAGTGATACAACATCCTAAGCCGCTTCATAGGTTCCTTTAATTACTATTGTAATATAACACAATTGCATATTTCGGAAAGTCTTAAAACTTTTAAATATATTAGTCTAAATGGTTCCTAAATTGGATACATTTTCTGCATATTTCGGAAAGTCTTAAAACTTTTAAATATTCTAGTCCAAATGGTTCCTAAATTGGATACATTTCCTGCATATTTCGGAAAGTCTTAAAACTTTTAAATATTCTAGTCCAAATGGTTCCTAAATTGGATACATTTCCTCGAGTTAGTGGTGTTGCGTCTTCGATTTAATGCTATTGTATAAGAATACTATGCTGCGTTAAGTACAGATTTAAATTGAATTTCCTCCGATTTCAAAGTCAGTTATTGCATAGAATGCATAGATCAAACTAATATTAACGATCTAATATTGCATATAATAAAACACACGCCAAGGAGGCCAACAACAAATTTAATGTTATTGCATGGCGTTGCATATTTGATTTAAATTGCACCAAAAAGTATATATAGCACACAAAAGTTTCCTCAATTTAGTGGTGTTCCATCTTAGATAAACTTGCCAAAGTGACCAAACACAAATTTAATGCTGTTATATGGTAGTTGATTTAAATTGCACCAAAAAGTATATATAGCACACAAAAGTTTCCTCAATTTAGTGGTGTTCCATCGTAGATAAACTTGTCAAAGTGGCCAAACACAAATTTAATGTTGTTATATGGTATTGCATGTTTGATTTAAATTGCACCAAAAAAACATAGCACACAAAAATTGAAGAATTCGAGTCCCACATTAAGCAGCATACCACCAGAATCGATCAATGTAATGGACACACACATATAAACATATACACAAACACAAACACGCACACAAACACACACACATATGCATACAAGAGAAATATCGAATGCACGCGTTGTCTAATGTCTACTGTCTATTCAATCTCTACCCACTCTTCGAAGTTCGAAAATTCAAAACACACCACCACTTCCTATTTCCAAATAATAGAGGGGTCCCTTGGCGCTGCACAAAAGAAGCACCCCTTTATATCCATCAACCACTAGCATCTGCAGCTTTCATCCCTGCATGCCATTCCCTTCCAAGCACTAGAAAACAAACATGATTTGAGAGAGAGAGGGAATGTTATATATTAGAGAGAATGTTGGTATGTTTTTTATTTTAAAATTTTTTTTAATTAAGAAAATAATTCATCATAGTACATATCATGGATTATCATTCAACTAATGGCATGATGACTTCCCAAGATTATTCCCACTTCTAACCATTGTCTTTTTCTCCTCACACCGCCCCCACTTTTTCCCTTCTTTTCCCTCCAGACAAACACTAGGTTCTAAGAGAGGGAGAATTTGAAAGAAGGAAAAGGAAAAAGTAAAAGATGTTGATGTCCAACCAAAGCCCCCAAAAGAGAGGCGCCATCTTCTTCAAAGCTTAAAGGGCTTTGAGGGACAAGCTGACAGAGCATCACAAGGCCTATTATTCCTCCAAACACACCCTTCCATGTGCTAGTTTTAAACCTTGTTTTGGACTTTCCTTCACACCCTTTTCTTCTTTAACTATACTTTGGCCTCTCACCCCCCCCCACAACACATTATACAAAGTACTACTCCTTAGATTGGCCACTCAACTTTTTCTGTTTGGATTTTGTGTCTTGGCTGCCGATTCTCCCTATCTTCTCTTTTCAAATCATTTAGAATCAATTACAGTAGCCAAACACGCATATCTCTATGGAAAATTACCATGTTGACCTCACCCATATGCTATATATATATAGACCATGCTGCGATATTTAAGGCTCATTATAGGTCACTTCACTTCAATTCAAAGAGTCTATTTTGAGTAATTTCTTTGTCAAATGGGAAGGGAAAGTAGTGATCAACAACACACAGTCATTCATTCCTCTATTGCATTGTTGCAAGAGAGGTTTAGGCAATTGGAGAGAATGAAGGAGATGAGAGAGGAGAGAGAGCTAATGAGAATGATTTCGGAGTCTCATGACCAACAACAATATTCTTCTAGTCCCACCATGCATTATGAGCCGTCATCATCCAGCTTCTTCTTCCACTCTGAGTTGATTCTTCCTCCTAGAGTAGTACCACCTGTCCAAGTTTCTCTCTCCCTTTGGCCAAACTCCCAGAGCAAATGCAGCGATTTCCGGGGCCTTGATCAGACTGCAATGAAGACATGGCCCACTGACACCCCTTTGGTTCGAGCCTCGCCTGTCAAGAGTACTCAGGACTCTGATTCTGATGTTGATACTTCTCTGCATCTATGACAAAACTATATATACTGGTTTTTGGTGATGCTATATATATATATTGGGAGAATTATTATATCTATATATATATATATATATATATATATATATATATATATATTAAGACTAGCAAGCAAGATTGCCACCAGGCCCACCATGGTGTATCAGCATGAAGCAGCTACTCAAGTTTTTAATGCATTGCCTTATCATTGTCATTAGTACTAGAAATCATTAGAATGATGAGGGAGTTTGTAGTGGTGAGTAGTGCAATATATGGAGGCAGGCTATACATATATAAATATATATATAGTTTCATTTGCTCTTAAAGATCTTAATGGACTCTTTTCTTTTAAGGTAATTGGTGTAAAATCTTGAATTGTTAAGAGAAAGATCTCCATTTGTACTGACAATAACAAAGTAAACTAGACTAGCTTGAAGGGTTTGTATATATAAATGCATGAGAATATATAGTAATTGAGAACTTAATGAAACACGAACCTAAGTAAATTTTTTATGCAGTAACTTGAAGAAGCCACTTTCCAAGAAAACGCGTGGATACACTTTGTTCCGATGAACAAAAATTTGAAATCATTTTCATGAGGTTCTATATTCATTTTTTTCTTCTTATGTACATTGATAGTTATGGACTCTTCTTCTTATGCTACAAACACGATGTTGAGACAATTACATAAAATACAAACCTCGACATTTAGAATCAACAGACTAACTTACGAGTTGTTCAAGGCTGTTGGTGAAAACAGATATAAATTACTTCATTTAAAGATTTCAATGAAATTTGATGAGAATGGATAAAAGAAAACATTTTGAGGTCCAAATCAATAATCATTGCACTCAAGTTTTTATTGTTGATACCTTCTAATAAATTTGCCATATAGAGAGAGATATCATGCACACACATGTATATATCAATTAGACATGAACCATTATTTGAAAACTATGGATATATATCAGTTTATGTACTTATATATTAATTTTTTACATCTAGGATACTATAAAGTTAAGAACTAATGCAGACACTAAAATTAGGGCCTTATTACATCTGTAACACGGTTTCAGAAAAGTAACTGGAGACAAATTACGAGCTACATGGCTCGAGTGCGTTTTCAGGCCAAGTGAAATGCTTTAGCTCTTATCTGATACTTTAGATTGTGGCTTTAATGATGGATGGATTGAAAACTTGAATTTTATTGAGGCTTTTCATGTGGGTATATATATATATATATATATATATCCTTTATCATGATGGAGAAGAGCCAACAATTCTGGAGCACTAGGCAGCAGAACACACACAAATATGTATATATATATGTATATGTACGTCTGTGTGTGTAGTGTGTACACAAACATGTATCAGCCAAAAACAAGAGATTTAGGTTCATTAATTTCCCGGCAAATTAACTTGTTTTTGCTCCCAAACAAGTTCCAATTGCAGAATCTACTGCAGAGTTTTAGGTATGCTGGAGTCTCGGAAGTCCTTTTGAATTCTTCTTTTTGTTGTTTGCTCCATTTCTTGTCTAAATTTCCCGCATTCTCTCATGTTGAGTTTGAAAATATGGAATCCGCGCCTTGTAAATTTAATTATGAGAACTTAAATTTTAAACTAATTTTTCTCTAATATCAATTTTTAAAAATAAATTATAAATTACCATACTTAAGATTTAGTCTCTTTAGAGACCAGAACCCATTATCATGACTTTTGCTTGTTGCATATCTTGATCCATTATACACATAATCTTCTCTCTTATAGTTAAGCAACAAAAGGTGTCCCACTTCTCCTACCCTTAAACCCACAACTACGAAAGCCACTAAGGGGGCATGACCTAAATTGGTACTTGGCTCTTAATTATGGCCCAAATATTATGAATTTAGCATTTGTCCAAGTATTGAGCATGCAACAATCTATATAGTTTGATATTTACTGAAAAAAAAAAGAAAAAGAAAAGATGTATATATATTGTTGATAGATGCTGCCTAAGTTTGGATAAGGAGGACCCAAAATTTAGGACCACCATAATTCATAAAGCAAAGTAGTCAGTCTATCACGAGTGTCACTGTTTGCTACCACCATAATTAAGCTAGCCTTGTCACCTATTTTGGCTTCCTTTGAACATACACTGAATACGGAATCCAATAATGTTTAGGGATGACAACATAATGGATAGAGAGGACAGTCCAACCCAGTTCCATTGGCTGCTGCTTCAAAATGATGAAGGTAAATAAAACAATTTTGAATTCACAAAGTTTAATGACGTGATGTTGTATTTGGACTGAATTGGTTACTCTTGTTGCATTTGGACTGAATTGGCTACTCCAAGTAGGGCTGCAAATGAGCCAAGCCGAGCCGAGCTTTAGGCTGTTCGGGCTAGGCTCGTTTGTTTATGGGATCAGCTCGGGCTCGGGCTCGGCTCGTGACGAGCTCAAAAATTTGGGCTCAGGCTCGGGCTCGTCTTGATTTTAAAAGCTCGGACTCAGCTCGGGCTCGGCTCGTTTAACAAAAAAAAATAAAAATAAAATTTAAAATTAATTAGTATTCTACAGGCCACAATACCTTTTTCCATTACTTTATCAATTATCACGTAAGCAAAAAGAAAAAGGGCAAAAAAAAAAAAAAAGGTGCAGTAGTGCAAGCTTTTATGTTTCAAGAACAAATTAAGGGTTAATTTCGAAAAAAAAAAAAGGACAAAATTAGAGCATGAGTGCATTATGCATTTTCTATGAAAAAATAACACATCAAAAAATTATAAATTCCCATGATAATAATATCTATAGAACCACTGAAACATTGCATATATTAAGTAGAAAAAGAAATCACAGAGGAAAATAAGTTGGAGATAAATTAATTTAGTTACCTGTGGCCATTGAGCATTAATCTCCATAAATTTAGAAGAAGCAGAAGAAAAGGCTAAACAAAATTGTCTGCAACTGCCTAAAGAATGTTTTGAGGTTGTCCAGATCCATGGAATTAAAGTGAAAATAAAGTTTTGCCAAAAAATTAATTGATGCAGTACCTAATTGATGGTGAGGATAGAGGATGGCCAACGATGATGACGAGAATGGAGGGACAGCGGCACAGACGATGACATGACAGATGATGCGTTCAGATTTGAGAGAGAGAGTTATGGCGATTGAGTTGATTAGAGAGAGACAAAGAAGTAGTTGTGTAGATGGAAGGGTTGTCGTTGTCGGTGGAGTTGATTCGTAACTCGTGAGTGAGTGATAGAGAGAGAGTGACTGACGATGTTATGGAGAAGAGGTAGATCTGAATGGTGGGGTGTAGTTTTAGGGTTTTTTGATATCTTACAAAATCAACAGATGAGATGGATTCTAATTTAATGGGTGAGACGAAATCTTATTTGGGCTATGGATCTATGGTGGATTTTCTTTGGGCTAGTAAGTTATAATGCTTGGGCCATATTAATGAAAAATATGAGCTGGGCCAAACTTAAAAATAATATGGACTAAATATTTTAAATGTACAATAAAAACAAATGGGCCTGATATATATAGAATGGGCCTGATTTATGTAACGAGCCTGATACGAGCTTTGTTCACGAGCCTTAACGAGCCCATATTCACTAGCCTATGCGAGCCGAGCCCAACGTTGCTCAGGCTCGGCTCGTTTAGTAAACGAGCCTAGAAATTAGGCTCGAGCTCGGCTCGTTTGCTTAATGAACGAGCCCGAGCCGAGCCCTTAACTAGCCAAGCCCGAGCTGTTCATGAACAGCTCGGTTCATTTGCAGCCCTAACTCCAAAAGGCTGATGAGCTCCCAAACATAGAGTAAGAGAGTTTTGAAATATTGTATTCAGGGCAAGCCCTAACCCAAGGCGAGGTCGCCTAGGGCCTCAAATTTTGCAAGCCCATTGATGATGGGCTTAAAAAATAAAAAATAAATTAAGGCAATTGACTTAAAACTTGAAAAAACCGAAAATATTAGCCCATCTTAGTATCTCATTGACAAAATTTAATATAAATCATATGATCATCTTATACCTTTTGCATTTTCTTTTTTCTTTATGCCTTTTTCTTTAAAGTAGCCACACAACCTCATATATTTGTGTCCCTGTGGATAAAAAAAAAAAATTTATTTATATGTTTTCTGCCTTTTGAGTAGTCAAATATCTGTTACACTTTGTATATATTTTATACATATGATCATCACTCTAGTTACAAGCGTACAGTTAAGTGCAAACCAAACACAGAACATTCTTACTTTTCGAAAAAAATTACAGAACACTCTTGCTTGTTGGCTCCTCAGTTTCTTGTCTCTGATTAATTTTCATTTTTCCATAGCTGAACTTTTAGTCCTATCTCTGTAGACGGTAACTACTTCTCCAATTTTTACAAAGGTTTTTTTTTTTTTTTTTTTCCTCCATGTAAATCATATTCTTTCTTTTTTTTTCCTCCATGTAAATCATATTCTTTCTTTTTTTGTTTTTGTTTTTTTGATTGATTGATTTTTTCTATTCGACCAATATAATATTATCTCTTGCATGTGCATTTTTAGGATCTGGATCTCTTGAGGTTTTTTTTTTTTTTTTTTTTTTTTTGGGTAAATCATATTACTGCATATTGAGCCATTATGGTAATCTATATTTTTTTTTGCAGCAAAGCTTTTTTTTTTTTTTTTAAGTTTAGTTTTATGTTGATTGTGTTTCCTGTTATTTAGATTTCAAGATATTAATTTTGACAGGGCAAAAAAAACCTATAAGGGAAATTGTTGTGCTAAGACACATTTGTAATTCTTTTATTATTTCCTCCAAACACTTTTAAGAAGTGGAGTAACTCTCTCACAGATTAGCAATTTTTTTTAATAAAATTATTATTTCATATATTAGAATGCATAAAGTTGGAAGTTCTTATAGAATTATTGTTTTACAAATGAATTTGTTGTAATACCGATGTTCCAATCCAGCAATCCTTCACTTGAAGTCTCAAGGACAAATCAATTAGAAAAACAAATCATTGCATTGAGGTAATATCTATATTTTATTTCACC